TATTAAATATTTTATTTAAATATTTTCGAGCCAGTTTGAGAAATTGAGAAATATTTTGAAGTATATTAAATCAAGATAAAAGAATGATTTCATAAGAAGTGAGCACCACGGGAGAAATCCGTGGTGTCAGTTTTCCACATCCGGATAAATGTGGAGGGTGATTAGAGCGGCTACTACTAAGAAGTACAGTTTGAGTAACTTTCAGATCGATGATCCCTTTTAAGAAGGAGAGTTGTGGTAGTAGTAGTAGTAGTTCCAACGTAAAAGGGCTACTACTGCTAAGGGTGAGGATAAGTTTTGAGTGATAATAGGATCGATGATCCCTTTTAAGAAGCAAAGTTGTAGTAGTAGTCCCTAATCATTCAGAGATATCTTATTCAAGGGTAGTTAGGTTCCGACTACTCGTGATGACTTACTACTCGGAGAGCTTGGAATCCCTTTTAGGGGGTGCTGCACACTTAAGGTAGTCATTTCGTTTCCGCAAGAGCAGTTGTGGTACCGGCACTTGTTCGGGGTGGCCGTCCGTAACCACGGTCCACCGGGCTCAGTCGAAAGGTTGAGCACCGTCCTTCTAAACTACTAGGGAGTTAGCGAAAAAGAGATTTTCTTAAGAAATTTAAAGAGAAGAATTACTATGATATTTTCCAAGAGAAGTTGAGGACTTTAGTAAAAAAGTGATTTTGAGAAAAAATCAAAGAAGAAAAGAATTTTGATGGTGTGAGTTCTTTTTATATAGTATTATATGAAAAACTATTTTCGCCAAACGTGATTATGTTACGAGGTTGGGTGGGCCTTACTTAGCTAAAAAGCTAATTTTTGTTATTTTTCTTGTCTCTCTCTTCTCCCTTAACTTTTAACAGGTGATGAGTTGGATGCTTATGATGATTTATTGGTTGCTTGAGCCTGAGAGCGGTCTACCAGATGCCTTAGTCAAACCTATTCAAGAAATAAACATTTAATTTATGTTACATTAGTTTTTATTATTTTGTTTTTGATTTGTCTGTGCATTCGGTTAAAAGATGACCGGATGTGGCGGTAACACCCATTTCCTTATTAAGACTTCCGCTGTATCTCTGATGTTTTCAAATAAAGTTGATAATTCCTTTGAATAAATCATTACTTAAATGTATTTTTGGGTGGGAAATTGGGGGTGTTACACCAACGAAGACAACAAGGCATTTACTATAGGCTGTTTTTAGCACTCCTGTACTTGCACTTTCTAGACTTCACCAATGACTTTTTAATAGAGACAGATGCATCCAGATGTGGAATTGGAGCGGTTTTATACCAAAAGGGCCGCCTAGTGGCATTCATGAGCAAGGTTTTGGGTCCTACGAAACGAGAATGGTCCACATACGTTAAGGAGATGTTTGCAGTAGTTGAGGTCGTTCGCACATGGAGGACGTATCTCCTGGGATGATGTTTTACTGTCGCTACAGACCTAAAAAGTTTAAAATATCTTCTTGAGCAACGAATTACGACCCTCGAGCAACAAAAGTGGATATCCAAATTGTTGAGGTTTGATTATGTCATTATCTACAAGCCTAGAAAGGCTAATAATGCTGCTGATGGTCTTTCCCCTCGGGAGCCATCTGATCAAGACTCCTTGAACGCAATTACTGCTAAATCAGGCCCTATATGGGCCATTTGGGATGAAATCCGTCAAAAGACAACAAAGGACCCCCATCTACAAGAAATCAGCAAACAAATTCAACAAAAGTTAGCGGCAACAAATGATTATCACCTGCAGGGAGGGTGTGCTCTGTATAAAGGAAGGGTCATGGCTCCCAATGATGCAGAGTTACGACGCCAACTTCTTGATGAATTTCATGGGTCCAAGGAGGTGGCCACTCTGGGAGGTTGCGTACCTACCAACGGCTGAATAAAGTCTTTAGTTGGGCTGGAATGCGCTCAGTAGTAAACAAATATGTGACTGAATGTGACATTTGTGAGTTGACGAAAAGTGACTGCTTAAGTCACGCGGGTTTATTATCACCTCTTCCAATTCCCAGTGCAGTTTGGGCCGATGTTAGCATGGATTTTGTTGAAGGACTACCGAAAGCAAAGGGAAAAGATACCATCTTGGTCATGGTGGACCGCCTTACCAAATATGCCCATTTTGTGGCCCTCGGGCACCCTTTCACCGCAAAAGAAGTAGCAGCAGCTTTCGTACAGGAAGTGGTCCGCTTACATGGGTTTCCAGAAACAATCATTAGTGACCGGGACCGAATTTTCATGAGCCTATTTTGGAAGGAGTTATTTCGTCTACAAGGGACCACATTGAAAATGAGTTCAGCTTATCACCCGGAAACAGATGGGCAAACAGAGGTTGTGAATCGTTGCTTGGGGCAATATTTGAGGTGTCTTGTCCATAGTTTTCCGGCAAAATGGATACTTTTGTTGCCATGGGCTGAACTTTGGTATAACACCACTTACCACCGATCTCTTAACATGACACCTTTTGAGTCACTATATGGGAGAATTCCACCCCTGCTGAGATCGTATACCAATGGTGAGTCACCATTAGCTGAGGTGGATGGTCAACTCACTTCTCGAGAAGAAATCATTCAGGTTTTACGAAAGAACCTTATTCAGGAAAGTAACAGAATGAAACAGCTCACTGATGCCGGAAGACGGGAGGTGCAATTTGAAGTTGGTGATCGGGTGTACTTAAAATTACAACCGTTCGGACAACACTCTGTGTTCCGAAGAGTGAGCCAGAAGCTCGCATGTAGGTTTTAAGGGCCCTTTATCATCCTAGAAAAACTTGGGGATGTTGCTTATAGGTTGGAGTTACCACCTGAGTCCCGTATTCATCCTATTTTCCATGTCTCGCTCCTAAAAAGTGCATGAATTCACAGCTTGTCGCCAATCCTACACTGCCCCCATATGCTGCGGATGGACCCCCTATTTTTGAACCCGAGAGAGTACTTCGCTTCCGCCGCCTTCGAACAAGGGCAGGAGAAACCAAGGAAGCATTGGTACAGTGTGCATCTTTTAGCTCGGAGGAGGCAACATGGGAACCGGTTGAGACATTACAACAACCGTTTCCACATTTCAACCTTGAGGACAAGGTTCGTCTTCGGGAGGGAAGCAATGATGAAGACGATATCAAAACCAGTCAAAGTAAGAGGTTGCGCCGAAGCAATATGAAGTTGCAGGACTACATAATTTAGGATTCAATATTTATTTGAATTATTCATTGGGTATTATTATTAATTATTATTACTAAAGTAGTATTATTGTTGGAATCTGTTGGTAGCGTTGGAATAGGTTTCCTGCAGAATTCTAATTATATAGGAAGAGTTCTTTAGCATGTTTTGGGTATCTATAAATACCCCATATTTATCTATTAGAAGGTAATGAGAATTTACTACTCTTTTTGGTCCTCTATCACCTTGAGATAGAATTTGGTTTTCTTTACACGGTGAGTAAAGGCGGTTGGAAATTTTCGCTCTAGGGAATTTCCATCAACTGAGTGTAACGGCATTAGTGTAAAAGATAAATCGGTCCTCCTTATTGTATTTTTGTGACCATGATTATAAGTTTAGATTACTAGTGTAAAAGTTTGAAGTAGGGATTATTTTTGTTTAATTGGTAAAAGTAGGGATTAATCTTGTCAATTTTGCCTAATTAAAATTATCATTTCATAAATTTATATACGGAGTAGTAAATTTCTCTGAAATTTATATCAGTATATTGTACAACTACAAGTCATGTTAAAGTAACATTTGCCACATATCATTCCGTTAAAAATTCATAGCAACATGCCGTTTAGAGGTGAATTCTACTCGTGGAAATATCATGCTATTGCAGTGTGATTTTGGAATGGAGATAACTTACTCGTATGGAGGAGGATATGCGACTCATATTTTTGAATTTTACATTGTTTTAACTCCTCTTTAGAAAAAAATCCCTTAAGTTATTTATAATATTTAAATATATATTGTCTGAATATTATCCTGAAATCAGAATAATGTCTACAATTGACTTTTTTATCAGTGATTGGCAAAATTAAACCGACAAGTTTAATAATTCTACTTTGATGGTTGATCAAATAGGACTCATTTCGAGTAGTATGAGCAGTCAAACTGCAATATGACTCTACATGATTGTTGAGTTAGTGCACATGAGCGCTTTTATAAGTCTATTTTTTTTTTGTATCCTAGTGTAACATTGAATATTAAAAATTATAATGATTCACCTTTGGATTGGTATGTTTGTTGTTACACTTATCGATAATAATTAACTTATTTTCTTTAAAAAAATTCAAAGAAATATAGCCCGTGCATGTCACGAGTATTATACTAATACTCTTACAAAAATTATGTATAAAAGAAGTTTACTATCACTGCATTTTAACTTTTATATTGATAAATTTTAATTATTTGAACTTATACCCACAGTTTTCCCTTGTCCTAAAGTGATGGCCGGTTAACATATACCCCCTCCGGCCTGAAAAGGTTGGCCAAATTGACTTTTCTTAGTCAATAACAATCAATTTGACTAATGATATCTTTTAATACAAAATTAATTGGAATATGAAAATTATATCAAAATATTCCTTACTCAAAATATTTTCATAAAAGTATACATTTAAAATTATACTCCTATATAATTTTAATGTCATTGTTCAAAATTTATCATCACTGACCAAGAAAAATCAATATAACGAATCTTTTCGGGATAGAGATAGTAATATCCTACAGCGTAAAATATAGAGAGTCATAAGCATAAATAAGTATATAAAAATTGATCAATAACATGCTCATTGCTCAATAATAAATAAGTAAAAATAAAAGTAATTTCCCTTAATTAATAACATGTGAAATATTTCGTGGCCAGCTCAGAGAACGATGGGAAACACTGCCCATTTCAAACACTAAATCAACGGTCAACGTTCAACCTTTAACATTTTGAACGTTTCCCTGTTTTCCCACATTTGACCCATTACAAAGCTATGCATATATAATAGACGACTTCTCCTTCCATTCACTTCCATAAAAAGAAACAAATTAAAACAGAAACTTTCATTTGCCAACGTACACTCATCCATTATTTTCCCATTACAAATGACTTTCTTCTTTAGACTGCGTAGAGCTGCCGGCGGCCACAATGGCCGGAAAAACAAGATTTCCCGGCCAGACGATTCTCCCGGAGATCTCACCACGCCCAGTAATTTCATCTGCCCGGTTTCGCTTGACCTGATGAAGGATCCGGTCACATTGTCCACCGGAATCACGTACGACCGGGAAAGCATCGAGAGGTGGCTGGAGGTCGGGAACAGGACCTGCCCGTTGACCAACCAAATATTGGAAACCTACGACCTCATCCCGAACCACTCCATAAGAAGAATGATCCAAGATTGGTGCGTGGACAACAAGTCCTACGGATTAGAAAGAATCCCGACACCGAGGGTCCCGGTGGGCCCTTCCCAAATCTCGGCAATCTGTGCGGCGATCGACGCCGCGACGCGTGCTGGAGACAGTACGAGATGCCGGGATTTGGTCGGGAAAATTAAGGTCTGGGGTAGGGAGAGCGAGCGGAACAAGATGTGCATCCGAGACGACGGCGCTGCCGGAGTAGCCATATCGGCATGTTTTGAGTTCTTCGCCGGCGCGTCAAAGGAGAATCACTCCGATCTGTTGAGAGATTTGCTCTCCGTCCTGACATGGATGTTCCCACTCCGGGAAGAAGGAAAGTCAACGCTAGGGTCAAAAACGTCATTACAATGCATGGCATGGTTTTTGAACGGTGGCGACGAGGATATACCGGCCAATCAAAACGCGCTATTGGTCCTCAAAGAATTGATTTCATCGGATCAAAGGTACGCAAACGCGCTAATGGAAGTTGACCAAAGTCTCCCGAAGTCTTTGCTGAAGATGGTGAAGTTACCATCTTACCCTTCCGCTAACACGGCCACCAAAGCCTCCCTCACGATCATGCACCACATGATTGTTGAAGTCCCACACCGGAAACCCAGTGACAGGAACGTCATTTCCGAACTGGTACATGCAGGCTTAGTCGCCGTCCTCCTGGAACTTCTCGTGGACGCCGACAAAAGCGTGTGCGAGAAGGCGTTGACCGTTCTTGACGCCGTGTGTTCGTGCCAAGAAGGGAGGGAGAAAGCCTACGGTCATCCTTTGACTATGCCATTGTTGGTGAAGAAGATGATGAGGGTTTCTGAGTTGGGGACAGAGCACTGTATCTCGGCCATGTGGAAGCTTTGCAAAGGAGAGGATGAAAGGGCTGCCGCCATTGAAGCACTAGAGTTGGGAGCTTTTCAGAAGCTTTTGGTTGTGTTGCAAGTTGGGTGTGGGGAAAAGGCAAAGGAGAAAGCAACAGAGCTGTTGAAGATGATGAATGTGTACAAGAATAGGGTGACTGAATGCTTGGACTCGTCCAACGGTTTCATGTATTTGAAGAGATCTTATTGATATATTGAATTGGTTGGTGATAGTAAATAATACGGAGTAGTTGGAGTTAACCTAATTTTGTTGCATTTTGGTTAAATTAGGCAACATTGTAAATATATTTTTCTGGTATACATACGTTAACCCATACAAGTTGGACGTGCCCTTGTTATTTAACTCAAATTGAAGAACATGGATATTTTTTGACTTATTCACTTATCATAAGTCATAACAATAGTGATCTTATTTCAGATCGCTAATCCCGCAATGTAGTTTCGTTTAACATCCTTGTTGCACTTGCTACTGCAGTGAAAAGACAAAAACGTACAAATAAATGGCTTGATGGCTTCACCAATCACCTTGCGTCTGGACGCTAAGATCAACCATTCCCCATAATCCTCCCGCACGAACTCCCCGACTGATATCTCTTGAATCAGGACATTGGAAGAGGTTGGAAGAAGAAACAGATGGTTAGTCCCTAGAAGGGGGATGACCGGCCGGATGAGGTCGGAAGGATGAAGTTTGAAGCAAAAATTGATATAAGTGTTAAGACTTGGGGTTCCATCCTAAAAGTTCAACATGATAGGAGGAGTGACACAAATCTTAATATAGTGTTTAATTTTTTAGGAAATATCTGGTGTGGGACTTTAACATCCCTCCTCATGACCAAACACTTCATCTGGATCGTTTCGTCATTCATTTTTTTCATGGGTTCGTCATTGTCATTTTTCTAATCGTGTCAGCATTTTTCATAAGGAGGCCTCCAACATGGATCGATGTGTCTCTGATACCACGTTAAGAGTAAGAGGAATAGTAGGGGCTAAGCATGTTCAATTTCAAGGGATGAAATTCGGTGGAAGGAAAGGGTTGACAATAGTTGGGGATGGGAGCAAAAACACATGGGGGCTGGAACTGTGGATGTTACATGGCAGTGCTAACAAACACACCATGAAGGTGCATGGAGTCAACCTTGCTCAAAAAACGGGGAGATAATGGGTCCTTTATTGGTCGTTAAAGAATCGAGCATTAATGGAACTATTCGAGTTCGAGCTTAATGAGATTTCGAACTCGGACTGAGTTTTGAGTTCGAACAATTAATTGAGCCGAGCTCGAACATGGTAGTATTCGGCTCGGTTCGAGCTCGAGCCTATCGAAGACCCTAAAATTCTAAATATAATTTTTATATATGTCAAATTTAAAATGTAATTAGTACTTCCTTCGTCCCTTAAAACTTTGCAACTTTCCTTTTTTGTTGTCCCACTAACTTTGCTAATTTCTCTTTTGAGTACAAATATTGTTGTTCCAATTGATTCTCTCTTCTCTGTACAAACTTCAATCACACAGTTTTTATTTTATTAATCTATGTGTCGGTCAAACTTGGCAAAGTTTTAAGGGACGGAAGAAATATGATTTTATGAATTTAAATATGATTATTAACGAATCCAATGTTTGTCGAATAATTCGAGCACGAGCTTATTAACGAGCATCACCTAAAATTTAAATTCTAGCATATTTATCAAGCTTATCGAGCACTCTGTCCGAACATCAAACACCTATTGAGGCGAACATGAGCCTCATTTGTAAACCTCGCCGAGCTTCGAGCTCGAACCCGAACACCACTATTACCGAGTCGAACCAAACTCGAGCTTTGTGTGTTCGGGCTCAGTTCGACGCATTAATAACCCTAGTACTTATTCTGTGGTAGCTTAGGCACACACCAAAGCATTGTTTTTTGCTCTAAGAATTTCATTCAGAATCAGTTATTGTGGGTGTTCAATTTTGCCTTATGAGTCTTTAGTTTTCTAGCTAAAGAGATGTGGTGTTTCTAGAATTCTATGGCATGAACGGGAGCAGTTTTGACAATCCGATTATGGCATCAAGCATTTTCATTCTCCTTCGTATCTTTAATACCTTTTCTCACATCTTTATTTCATTGGGCTAATGCTCTAAATTTCAATTTTGATTCTCTTACTCGCATTGGATGTTTGATATAGGATCGAAATCCGCAGCGGTCGTGTGGAGGTAAAAGTTCATGTGTGCTAAGATGAACCTCTGGTGCGGATAGAGTCTATCATCATTGAATTCGTTGAATCATCGTGACTTACAATCTCTCAATCGTTTTATCTGATCGGGGTGTGGGGCCCAGATCAGGGATTCAAGATGATTGATTCATATTCTCTTAATGTTTTTTGTTTTTATCGTAGCATATTCATTACACGTGAGATACCTACCTAGTCCGGAGATGACCTCGAGCACTTTTGGGGTCGGGGATTCTTCTTGTTGCGTTTGCACAAGTGCGTCAAATGTGTTGTACTTTTGAATAATTTAATCATATGTACTATGGTAGTCGATTTTCCATTAAATTTCAAAATATTCTAATATTTATTCATGTAAACTAAATCTACTAATAATTTACGTACAAAATGTACATGGAGGTATTCTTGGCATGGAGGTAGTACATAGTTTCTATAGACAAATTAGTAATTAAATAACATTCACCATTTAACTTTAATTTGAAGGAGATTTTTGGGGCTAGGAGTTGTGTATGTAATTCCTACCGCCCAATCACGAACATGGCCGGTAGAGTGCTCTAAATCTTTCTATCACCGCCGCGACAGCGATTAAAGGCGTTGCAACCTCGGTTATATTTGTTAGATGGATCTGGTAGCGATACATCTCCATTAGCGGATTGTGATAATAATTTCTTTTCGGTTGCCGGCTCTGAGAGTATCTTCCTATCCGCAAAACTTGTTTCTTTTGCCGCAGCAAAAACTTGTGTGCATGAAACGAGTGCGACGAGGACGACAATGATAATAGCCCATCTTAAACTAGCCATTTCTACGTCACAAATAAGATATGTTGAAAATGTTGGATGTATAGCAAATGTATGACTTCTTTTAGGGAATAATGCACTTCTCTAAATCAAACCTATGCATATGGTTCTTTAGCTTTTAAAATGATCAATCTGTTGAAGTGTATGGTTTAGATAGATTGTATGATAAGCTTTTGATTGTTGATGCGAAATTGAAGGATAACCACAAAGAGATTTAAATGTACTTGCGGATAGGTAAAAAGTTTGATTGTATCGTGGATGCGGATTAGAATAAGAGTTTGGGTCCTTTACACACTTTTTGGTGTACATACTTTTACACACCGTCTATGCAAGGTTTTTTATTTGTACAGACAAAATGTGTTTTCGTCAAAAAACATTTTGTCTGTATAGACAAAAAAAAAACTTACACAGACAATGTGTAAAAGTGTGTACACCAAAAAGTGTGTACCAAGAGTATTTTTGCTACAATTATCATTGGAGGTTTTGTGTTCCGGTCCTTTTTTGCTATAGATCCAGATTTGAATTTGATAGATCGTGTTATTAAGAGTGAATATGCTTTTTGGGATCAGAATTGAGATCAAAACCAACCAATCCAAACCTATTATTGTGAACATTCACATTCATTAATTTATTTGAAGATAAATTGGATGATGTGTTAGATAAATTTAAATTTAGAGAGATCGAGGGATTATTTAGGGGCTTATTAAATCTGGATTATTTTAGAATGTTATTAAAATATATTTAGTGAGTGTCCTAGAAAAACAAATTATTTGATTGGTGATGAAGATTTTTTTAGATTTAAAATTATTTAAAATTTATTGGATGAAAATAACGTGATAATAATGATGAATAAGAGAAAAACTGTTTATTCAAGAGCATGAATGGAGATGGTTTTATTTCTTTTGATTTTAAGTCCAACCAAAAGTTCAACTATAAAAAGGCTTATCAATATCTGTGTTTATTTGTAACGCCGACCTTGTTTATCTGAAAGATATTTACCCCAATGTGTTATGACTAAACAATGATGTGTTTTCTAGTATACTTACATACAGCATATGGTCATTCCTGATTTTTAATTCTTCTTTTCATTTCAGCATTGCCCTCAACCATATTAAAGAGTGATCAATTCTTCCTCAAAATATAGATTTGATTTGCACGACCAATATGGAATTCACTCGTACATGTCAAGTGTTGCCATCAATATTATGTATGTGTGTGACTGTGTGTTAATATATATGGGTTTCCAATGGTTTCACTTGGGTAGGATTAGACAACAACTGTTCTAAGTCATTTGAAAAAGATAATTTAGATGATGAAGGTTTCAAAGCAGTAGATGAAGATTAGTCCACCAGACTTTCTTTACTTTGACCGACACCATAACCGCCGGCATTGATATTATGCTGTGATTTTTATGGGCTTGAATCTTACTTCATTCGGTCCTAAACAAACTTCATACTTTGAATTCACACAAATTAAGGAAATAAATTTGACTTTACTTTGAGTACACTATTGTGATAATGTTTGACACAGTTTGACATTGTTTGATACTGTTTTGCACTGTTTTGATGCAAATAATTTGCCAAATAAGGTAGGAAGAAGAAGTGTGAAGTTTATTTTGGACCTACCCAAAATGAAAGTGCGAAGTTTATTTCCGGTGACTTTTTCCGGCGAAATTGTAATACATCTTAGATTTCAACTATTTTCCGGTGCCCCGCTGCTGCTGACGTGGGCCGTCACCTTCACCAACCCAAGCCGCTACCTCTGCCCTTGCCCTGCCACTACCGCGGCCCCTTCCCCCGTCAACGGTTGCCGCCCCTGAACCATACACCGCGACCGCCCCACCGCCCCGCTCTGCGTACGTAGCTAGGCTGAAAAGATGTTTGGCTCTGATAAGAAAACGTGCATGGCAGGGTACAGAGGAAGAAAGAAGCGCAAAATTGATTGGTTGAAAATTAATAGTAACTTTTATGGAAAATATAAAAAGACTCATATTTTTGGAAAATTAAAAATTAATATTAACACATCCCAACACTTCATCCAAACATGTCGTAAGGGAGTGTTATATGCTAAATTTACATATTGTGCATTGTTGTTTTGTATAGCAATTTTTTTAGAATGCTATATTAGCTCATTTGATGGCTTGCAATGAGGTCAATTTTGTCCTTCCATGTTGTTTATTATATATGTGGTGTAGACTTCAAGCTCCTATCAAGCCCACTCCATCCTTCATACCTCCATGGAGTGGTGCTCCATCCCCTAGCCATTATTAAGAAGCATGGAGAGGCATGGGCTACAATACGGACAACAATGAATATGTCTCCAGCCCTGCCTATAAATAGAAAGCTCTTCCATTGATCAAAA